GTTTGGAGGGGTTGTGGACGTCGACGTCCGAAATGACGGGTGGTGTTGGCGGTTCGGGGGGCAATGACTTCGTTCCTGCGAGCGACGTTGTCATGGACGAGCTGCACAGGAAGTCGAGAGTGTGGCGTCATGTGACGCAGGGTTAGAGGTTGGGAACATGGGAGAAGAGGCATGGGGACTATAAGCTGCGCTGCAATTATTGCAAGCATGTCTGGCAGGGGAATTTGTTCAAGGCACAACGCCACTTCACGCAGATGAAGAGGTGCTCGGCGGCGACGATAGACGTGTTCGTTGACATTTGGAACCACAAGGATTACGAGTTCGATAACAGACATCACCGCGGTATCGTGGCTTACATGAGGGAGCACGATATTGTGGATAGACGAGATGTGGACGTCCAGCGAGGCAGTGGCAGGGGGAGGACGGGAGCGTCGCAGTCGCAAGCAGAGAAGCTCGATCCTGTGGATGAGGTGGAGAGGTTCCTGGACGAGCAGGCCAGGCGAGCAGAGGCTGCGGAGGGTGGAGGGACAGCCGCAGCAGAGGATTTGCCAGGGGAGGAGGTGGTTATGACTGCGCGAGGGAGAAGCGCCGCTCACCGTCATGAGGGGGACGCACCGGGCCCCGCGGGGAAGAGGCCAGTGGGCAGTGGAGTTGAGGGTGTGCTGCAGGTGCACAAGAGACAGCGGCAGTCTAGTCTGGATGAGGTGTACGATCCAGATGGGCAGGCCACATTCAGGGACACCTTTTTGTAGTGGTGCTATGATAGTGGTATACCATTTAATGCTTTCAGGAGGCAGTCATGGTATAGGCACAAGAAGGCGTTGGCCGCCATGTCTCGCGGAGTGCGGCCTGTCTATCCGTCCTTCAAGGACATTGGGGGCGGTGGTATCGATGATCAGCGGGGAAGGTTGTCGGGATGTTGAGGGAGGTCCATGCTTCGTTCGAGTCTGTGAGGGCCACCATTTTGTCGGACGGTAGGCAATCGCGAGACGCGAGGCCTATCGTCAACTTCCTTGCGGCTGCCAAGCGCGGCGCCCTGTTGTACGCCACCGTCCAGCGAGACGGTTCAGTGGCCGAGACGGCACGGATCGTCCTGAGGAGATGGAAGGCCATTTTTCGGTCTTTCCCTCCGAAGGACGTGTTGGCCATTTGCACGGACTCTGCGTCGAACTATACATCCGCCGCAAAGCTCCTTGCAAAGGACCCCGATCCGGAGATCCTCTGTTCAGTTGGCTCCCCTGTGCCACCCATATGGCCAACTTGATGTTGTCTGACATCGGCACAAGGGTTCCTTGGGTTACGGAGACCATTGTCAGAGCTCGAGCGTTGGTGCGATTCATTAAATCGCACGACGCGGCTTATCACTTTTTCAATGTGAAGAGTCGTCGCCGCACGCTTGTGCACCCTGTGGAGACGCGATTCGCGTCCATTTTTTTGATGTTTGTGTGTTTGCTCGCCAGGCGTAATGACTTGGAGAGCATGCTTCATGAGGACGAGTGGGACAAGATCCCAAGAGAGTCGTCGAAGCGCAGACAAGCTCTCGGGGTTCGGCAGATCATCCGGTGCGCCGATTTCTGGCGCAACGTTTAGTATGCTGTCTCTGTCATGACCCCTGTCCACCAGCTGTTGAGGAGATTGGACAGGGGCGGCATGATCATGTCCATGATGTACTCATGGTCGCAGAAGTTGGCGCAACAGGTGGCTGTTGTTGACGTCCCTAATGACATGCGGAGGCCGTGCGTGGAGGCGGTGCAGATCCGCACCATGCATATGCTTGAGCCGATGCACGCTGTGGCGCACCTGCTCAACCCCCGTAGGCGCTCCCTCCGTTACTACGAGTCCGCCCACAGGACAGCTGCGGACCTCGAGGTCGTTACCGAGTGCGACTCGTTTTTCCTGGCGCAGACAGGCGGTGATGCGGCGGGGGATGCATACTTGCGGGTGCGTCAGCAGATACGATCCTTCCACTCCAGGGTTGGCCACACGACGGACAGGGTGACGAGGGACGCCGAGGTGGATGCCTGTGTAGGGGACGAGGAGACGAGCAGGTGAGCGTCATGGTGGGTGGAGCACGGCGCATGCTTCCCGGACTTGCAGGAGATCGTTGGCCGTGTGATGCACATGTGGACGTCCGCCTCTCCTACTGAGAGGAATTGGGCAGAGCATGAGCGCATCCAGACGGCCAAGCGCAACAAGCTCAAATCTGGAAGGTCGCACAGTTAGTTGAGATTGCTACCAATCTCAAACTACTTGGCTACAGCGACCGCAGCGGGGGGTACATTCTTCCGTGGGGCCACATGGAGACCCTGGCTGAGGTGCGCCCTAACGAGTACACACACACCCCGACCACCGCCGATAGGGATGATGAGGAGGAGCCTGAGCCAGAGGAGTGGGGAGCCCGACCTCGGTCGGCAGTGGCCGCACACGAGGTTAGTGCACAGGTCCGTCGATTCCAACAGCAGGGCTCTCGTCGTCCGGACCGAGTTGCTGAGGTTTTCGGTCCCAGAGCCGAGACACTTCATCCTTACGACAATGTGCCCCCACCGCCAGCAGAGCTGGCGGAGACGTCGAGGCAGGAGTCTGACTCGGAGGGTTTGCCGCCCGGTGTAGATAAGAGTGTCGAGAGACTGTATTACACGTACGGTGTAGGACCGGACGGTTTTCAGCCAGACTGCACCGTCATTCAGGAGAGAGACGACGATTCTTTTTCCCCTAGTGGGGGTGGTACTGGCGGGCCGACGGGACGTGCTGCACGAGGTGCGAGTGGAGGTGTTACAGGCGAGCCTAGTGGAGGGGTCACACACGACGAGGGAGAACGTACTTCACTACTTGCTCAGCACACTGCTGAGAGAGAGAGGGAGCACGCGAGGCCGGCCTGCACGGACGACGACGACGACGACGGCGACGACGACGTGCCATTGGTCTTTCACAGAGCACGCATGGCAAGCGATAGAGCTCCGTCCGCCACCGAGGGTCTTAGGAGATCACTTCGGTTGCAGACGCAGGCCGACTTGTTCACGTCAGACGCGAGGTGTCCGACCACCTGGATGACATTACAACCGATGAGCATATGCCGAGCCAGCACACACCTTCCTCGGCACCTCCACGGGACAGGGAGCAGACGGACCTATGCACGAGTGACTTTCCTAGACTTGGACACGGACTTTCTGACACCGGTTTTCCAGGACGGGGCCAGTGGAGAGAGAGAGTGGGGGATGACGTCGAGTATCGTCCTACGGAGGCTGGTGTACCGGAGTCGACGGAGGAGCTCCATGCCCGCTTGGATCGAGAGGAGGAGCAGCGGTTGGAGGTGTTGCAGAGCGAGTGGGCGGGTAGAGCCGTGTACATGGCGGAGCAGTAGCGTGCTCAAGATTTGGAGACCGGTGCTGCAGTACTTGATCGGGGCGGGGTGGAGCATCGCGATCCATTCGCACCTGACCTTGCACAGACAGAGGGGCACGTTGATTCGACCGTGTCAGAGCATGGAGATCCTGCCGTGTCGGACGTCGTACTTGGATTTCGTGCGACAGACATGTTGCAGCCCGATGATGTACGGACTGAGGAGGCAGTTCGTACAGAGGGTGATTCAGACAAGCATGGGGACGGAGGGCGTGGATCCGATGTGGAGGCCGATGATGGGGCGGATATTGCGGGGCGACTTTCACCGTCGCCTAGTGCCGGTCCAGGTCAATTGTCACACGGCGCCATTGGGGGTGACGACATGGACCTACAGACTGATGATCCGGAGGAGGTCGGAGGCAGTATGTCTTTGGCGTTAGTGTTGTGGCATCCTTCATCGGTGCCGCACGACGTTCCGTCAGAGCATGTCGAGGGAGGAGGCGGTGCCGATGAGGAGGAGGAGGGCGGTATACCACCTGGCCTTCAGGACCACGCCAGAGCAGATATGGAGGAGGGGGAGATTACACCTGGGTCACTCGACCCTGATGCGTTGCACCGTGCAGGAGTGGAGGATCCGATTAGCAGGGAGTTGCAGGATCTCTTGGGGTCGGGGTTCGATCGCCTCCGTTGTACACACCTATGACCCCTCGGTATTCGGGCTCTCCGGCGAGCTTGGAGCGCGAGCAGCATCGTTCGGAGTCCGCCATGGCAGCGGCTCGGGGTGCACACAGGGCTCGCACCACTTCACTCACACCTCCTCCACCGACCGTGCCCCACAGCACTCCGACACCAGTTACGGGTAGAGCTGTCGGGAGAGGCCACGTGACGACGACGTCGTCACCTCGCCCCGACACACAACAGTCATTTCACCGTTCGTGGAGCACAGTGCGACGAGTTGACGAGAGAGTGAGGAATGATTTCGCAGCGCACCAGGCGCGGTTGAGGGAGGACTCGGAGGAGCACAGGCCGGCACCGAGTTTGACGACTGTTTATCACATTCTCGATCAGCCTGGACACGACACTCGCAGGCGCATGCTTTTAGGTTCACGCAGGGCTGCGCCGGCGTTTTACACTTTTGAAGAGGACAGAGTGCCGGCGCCTCATGGAGAGCGACATCACAGCAGCATGAACGAGTTGGAGACTCGTATTGCTAGGGAGGAGGCGAGATTGAGGGAGTAGCACGAGGAGCTTGACAGGGAGCGCAGGAGGATGGCGGCGGCGCGAACTTCGGATGCTGATATGGATGAGGAGCCCATCGAGGTTGCTAGGCGCAGGGAGAGAGAGAGAGAGAGATTGGTCGCGGTATAGGCACGCATGGCACCGCCGACACGTGGACGAGGCGGCAGAGGCGGATGAGGAGGCGGAGGCGGCAGAGGCGACAGATGCGACAGAGGCGGCAGAGGCGGCAGTGGCGGCAGAGGCGGGGGGCGGTAGATATATGTACTGTGGTTTTGATTTGGATATTTCCTATTTTTTCGGAGGGAGCTTCGTATCAGTTTCCTTATACGCGATTGACATGTACTTTAGTTTTGTAGTTCTTTGCGGCGGGGTTGTGTATATCTTCGCTTTTGTGACACATCGGTATAGTAGTGTATACTAGTGACAACAATTTCCCATTTTAGTTGCTCATATGTACTTCAACTTTGCAGTCACTTGTGGTAGGGTTTTTATGTCTTTGGTTTTGCGAGACATGTGTACACTACTGAGAGCTGGTTTTTTTTTTTTTTTTTTTATCCCAGAGGATGACTTCTGCACATATGGAGACTATCTAGTTTTTAATGTAGGTGGATAGGAGTCATGGCAGGAGCAGTTGTTGTCTTAGTTCGTCACATGTACTTTAGTTCTTCAGTTATTTGCGGTAGGGTTTTTATATCTCTGCTTTTGTGAGTGTACAGCAGTGACAACTATTTCACTTTGTTTGGTGGGTGGCATTTATGATACATGAGAGGACTTTGTTCCGGCGAGACTTTTGTGCATCCGGGGATCTGACTCTTATGTGACATGTTTTTTGTGTCATTCAGTAGTTGTACTGATTTTACTCTCCCGTTGGATGATCGTGTTGTTTCATATTGCCAATGAATTTTCATTTACTTTTTGTGTGTTTGCCTTAACGTTGTGTGTCAAAGTTAGTGAAACTGGATGAATGATGTGATGGTGTGGACGATGCATTGTTTCGTTGTGTGTCAAAGTGATTGCATAATGTCACCGTGTACATCATGAAAGTGATCGAAGCAGACGAGCCCCACCAAACGGACTGCCCACACCACCAAACGGGAAGCCCACACTGCAAACGGGCCCCACCAAACGGGCCCCACCCAAACGGGCCCCACCAAACCAAATGGGCCCCACCAAATGGGATGAGATAACCACCAACCAAACGGGC